AACTATCAATCGGGTCTCGGGAAAGCGTATCGGCAACTTTATTGAGAACTCCTTTGCGGTACTTTATTTCGAAGTCGAACTGTTGAAGATAAATACTCCAACAAGCTAGTCTACCGAAAGGGCTCTTCATGGAATGTAGCCATTTCAGGCTTTGGTGGTCGGTAACAACCGTGAAACGGTAACACTCTAAATAGGGTCGCATCTTCTCAATGCCCCACACTATTGCCAGGCATTCCTTCTCTGTGACGGAGTATTTATTTTCCGCGGGACTTAAACTACGGCTTGCATACGCAATGACATGATCGCCATCTGTACTATTTTGGATTAATGCCGCACCTAACCCATTATCGGATGCATCTGTTTGCAACACGAATGGCTTCGAAAAATCGGGACAAGCCAATATTGGGGCTTCGGTGAGGTGATTTTTAAGTGTATCAAAAGCCGTCTGTTCAACATCGGTCCAAGTCCATCGGATGCCCTTTTTAAGTAGGCGGTTGAGTGGTCTAGCTAATTGGGAAAAATTCTGTACGAATCGGCGGTACCACGAAGCTACTCCCAAAAAGCGTCGTAAGCCACGGATATTAGTAGGAGCTGGCAGTTCTCGGATTGCCGCTACTTTGTCTGGATCGGTTCGGATACCTTCGGAAGTGACAAGGTGGCCCAGATATCGAAGGGACCGTTTTCCAAATTCACATTTGTCCGGATTTAGTCGTAAATTTGCCGCTCTCAGACGTCGGAATACTTCGGTTAAATTGTTCAGGTGTTCCTCAAAAGTTTCGCCAAGGATTATAATGTCATCGAGATATGCGAAGCAATAACTATCTAGTTCTAGGCCTATAATTCTGCCCATTAATCTCTGGAATGTAGCGGGAGCGGAGTGTAACCCAAAAGGCATTACTCGAAACTGGTATAGACCCATTCCTGGTACGGTGAAAGCGGTAAACGGTTTGCTATCTTTAGCAAGAGGTATTTGCCAGTACCCTTGTTTAAGGTCAATGCTGGAAATGTATCGGGCGCGGCGGAGTTTATCCAGAATGGCATTGATGAATGGCAAAGGGTATGCATCCTTTCGGGATATGGCATTGACTTTCTGAAAGTCAATACAAAACCGGTACTTGCCATCCTTCTTCCGGACCACGGGAGAACTCCACGGGCTAGCGGACGGTTCGATGATTCCATCGTCCAGCATTTTCTTAACATCGGTGTTGACTACTTCTTGCATCCGGGGATTTTGCGGACGGTAACGTTGTTTTATCGGGTCGGGATTCAGTAGATGAATGGTATGTTCTACTAAAGGGGTAGTGCCTTTGATTTGGTCAAACTTCGGCAGCTCTTGGTCCAGGAATTTCTGCAATAGTACGTCTTCGGCGGACGTTAATTCCAGGTTCGACGGGACATCTATCGGACCAATAGGACTACATAAAGTAGGAAACGGTAGCAGACAGTTGTTTAAATAAATCTCGCCACTGCCCAAATCCAGATGGAATTTGTGTCGACTCAGAATATCCATCCCAAGCACAATGTCGGACGTCAAATTCGGAAAGTGGCTGATGGTTTCGGTCAGTGTAATGTTTCCGAGCTGTAACGGTATTCGGTAAGCTTCCGAAATATCGATTACACCCCCATTGGCCACTTTGGCGCTTCGGATCTCAGGTTGTACTTTGGGATAATCACTGAGCCGGCATATGTCTGCAGCGAGGTCTCCTATATATGAGTTAGCTGCTCCGGTATCGACTAAAGCTAAGAAAGGAGCTTCCTCGATATAAATGCAGACATGTGGTCGAGAATCTGGTAGACGAATCGGGTTAACGTCTTTCGGAAAATATGGATGTCTATTCGAGGTTCTTAGTTTTCGGTGCTGGGCTGACCTCGGACTAGGACCGCACCTTTTTAGTTTTCCGAACGGGAACGGTCACATGGGCAATCTCGGGACATTATACCCGGTTTTCTGCAACGGGAGCAGAATAATTTTGCAGTACCGCGGCATTCTGTTCTGAAGTGGCCAGTCTCTCCACATTTCCAGCAAATTACTGTTTCGAGCCGATTCTCTGGTCTAGAATTCCGTTGGTACGATTCGGTTCTTTTAGGCCGTTCGGTTCTCCGATTTTTTTGCCAGCCTCTTGCTGGTGCTGGGTTCGTAGACGGGTTATGGGTAACAGAAATGCCGTCCAATGGACGGTGTGTACTTCTAGACGTGGACGAACTTGCCTTCAGTTCAGATAAAAGGCTTTCAATTTCCCTTAAGGTGCGGGAAAATGAAACTACATCGGTAATGTCGCTTTTCCGGATATGTTGTCTGTATTCTGGTAACAGGTTTCTGTACAACCATTGAAGCTCCTGATCTGGAGTTATGCTTCCGTGCCTTCGTATGAGGGTTTGCAAGTCCGTACTATACCGGTGGGTTGGCTCGTTTGACTGTTGGAGCCGGCGGCTAATTTCGATCTCCAGGTCGGCGGCATAATTGATCGGAAAATAAAAGCTGCGAAAATCCGTCAGAAATTCGTCCCAGGTATTCCAGTGAGTTTGGTTATTTCGGTACCAGAGGGATGCGTCACCTTGTAAAAGTTCTGGGATATGCGGCAGTAATCGGTCTATCAGTATCCCCTGGGAGGCACAAATTTCCTGTAGCCTCTCTATGAATGTCACTGGGTCGGTTCGTCCATTAAAATGGATATTCCATCTATGTACTTTCAGTGCCATTCCCGGAGACCCGGATGCGACTGAGGCAGCGGTTGGTGAATAGTTATAGTCGGCATCGGCGGATTGAGCACCTGAGTTGTTCCTGGTGCCCCAGTATTAGCAGTACTGGTCTGAGTAAGGGCAGCCGTACTATTGGCCTGCGTCGTATGCGTGCAGGAACTGTTCGGAAAGTTGAATCCTGCCATTGTGGTCGGTGCTGGTGAAGCCTTTCCTTGGCGATAGAATGTTACCAGTCGTCTTTTCAATGTTTCAACGGTACCTGTAGTGTCCAGTCCAAACTTTGTTAGTTCAGGAATCAGTTCATCTTTCTTTAGTAGATAAACCCAACTCACACGGCCGTCGTTGGGATCGTACCAAACGGGGTGAGTGGTTATTGGTACATTAACGGGCGGGTTTACTAGACTGGTTGTAACCACTGTAAAGGCAGTGGTATTCGGTGTACTGGTAACCGGTGGGTTTCCATTGTTGCCGGTGCCTCCGGTCATTGTAACTCGGGTTAACGCTTATTTACCGGTAGTGGAATATAGGGGAGGTTAATCGGCAACGGCTATCAGCGGCTTCCTAACAACAGGTTTACAGCTTACACTCGGTGGTACGGTTGGAAGTGAAGTGACTTTAACTGTCGAATCACTTTATCTGGCGGTTCAGTTGCAAGTCTTCGAGTTTTGCTTTTGGCCTAATACTCTGCGGATTGAGTGTTCTCGGGCTGAAGGCTCGGTCGGAACTATCCTTACTGACGGTACAGGTTTAGCCGGTTCGGTTAAGCGGTCTTTTTTTTTTTTTTTTTTTTCTCAAAACGGTTTACTAGATGTTGCTTCTTCGAGGGCTCGGTCGATTCTCTTGGAACGGTTTACTAGATGTTGCTACTTCGAGGGCTCGGTCGGTTCTCTCGGAACGGTTTACTAGATGTTGCTTCTTCGAGGGCTCGGTCGGTTCTCTCGGAACGGTTTACTAGATGTTGCTTCTTCGAGGGCTCGGTCGGTTCTCTCTTAATTTAGTGCGAGCGCCTTATTTTATACTCTTTTGAAGAAGTGGGGAACGATTTTTGGGATCCCACTTAAAAAGCGGGTGATGCGCACACTCTCCCTCTCCTCGTCTACCATCCGGTCTCTTAATCTTCGGACTGATTATGAAATATGGCAACTCTTAGAGGATACAATAATTATCCTGGTCGATACGACAAAGAATTTGCGCATGCGCAGAACGGATGGAGCGGAAAAGGGTCTGGTGTGGAGCTTTAACGCTTTCTGAAGTTTGAACTGGCAGCGGAGCGGTCGGTTTCTGACAAACTACATCAACGGGGAAATTTTCAGAGATAGAAAAAAAAATTAAACAAATGACATCAGCGACCTCGGTTTACTCGAAAATGTGCGAAGTTTCCAAACAAAAATGGTTTGCGAATGCGCTTACCAATACCTCCCAAAACAGAGATCTTCGGTCCAATGCGATGCGAAATACAACAGGAACTGACGGAACTGTCTTCCTCGGACGGACCTAGGACGGCATTTGGTTAAGACCTCCAATTTATGAGGCGGAAGATAAGGCATGCGCGGAATAGTCCAGTAGGAGCGGTTCATGCGCTCCGGCGATTGGCGGTCTGACAATCACATCAAAACGGTACGGTAACGGACAGACCTACGGTGGTTGCCAAAGCAAACGGCCTCTCGAAGGAATGGAGGACTGATGATGACGAAATCTCCTCGGTCTCATGCTGACGTCATTAAATTGCGTAATGTCCTTGCTCGGGCGCCAAATTTGTAAAGGTGCTTTTTGTACGGAAGCGAAGTAGTTCGGTAATCGGTTTCTTATCCTACGGTTATCTCGGGCGCCACCCTCAGGATTAAAGTGGTTGAGGGCCCACGTGCACCAGGTAGCTTGTTACAGTGGAGAAACGGTAACCCAGGGGTCACATCAGACGTTATTGCTCAACCTGACTACGTCTCAAAATAAAACCCTGAAAATTCCCTGTAAAGCTCCGTGTTAAAATTAAACACCAAATTCGGTAATAGCACAAATTGTATTAACAGAATAAAACAGACCAAAACAATATTAATAACCCAACCCAAAATATGGCAATTAATAATGCGAGCGAGAGTGAGAGAGTGAGTACGATCGGTGCGTGCGTATTTGTGAGAAAACCGGTGAGGTAAGCGGATATAACTGGTAAGCAATGATGTTAATAGCGGAATACTAAAAATGTAGCGGTGACGGTTAAAATAATGAGGCAGGCAAAAAGCTCCGGCGGTTTTGTCAAGCGCGGAAAACACCAAAGTAACAGTCCCTCTAACCTTTAATAAATAATGACCACGGAAAGTGTTTTATACAAGCTCCTAATCGGAAAATCACTCGGGCATCAACCAAGAGTGAAGAAAAAAACAATCACCCGGTCATCAACCAAGGGGGAAGAAAATAATGCATTCGGCCATCAACCAAGAATGCAAGAAAGACAGACTACCCGGAAATCAATCAAGAGCGGAGAAAGACAGGCACCCGGGCATCAACCAAGGGTGAAGAAAAAGAATGCATTCGGCCATCAACCAAGAATGCATGAAAGACAGGCCACCCGGAAAACACCCAAGAGTGGAGAAAGACGGTCACCCGGACATCAACCAAGGGTGAAGAAAAAGGAGCAAGTATAAAACTATCTCATACCACATTCTTACCCAACCTGAAACGCGGCTCGCGGCACTCTGGGAACTGTTACTGGGCGATCCCACTGGCTTACCTCGGTGTTGGCTTCGGTTGGTCGGTGCGGTGTTCTAGTCTTGAAGCTGGCTGGCCGCTGTCGGCGGACTTCCAGTTTTGCAGGGCTCGCCGCCTTAAATATGGGTGAGCGGCGGCCGGCGTCATATGTTAAGGCAGTGGGAGACCGAGCATGACCAAAAGACCACAGCGCTTCCCCAAGCAAGCGATGCGTCTGCTGGCGGCGGCAGGAAATCGTACACTCAATTCGAGGTCACGCGTAAAATTAATAATTTATTTGAGGATTGAAAATAATATTATTGAAATATGCACTTAAAATCGCGGTACCTTTTAAAACAAAAGAAAAATTACGTAACGTCGTTACAATACTGCACAATATTTATATGACCAGTTGATTCTGTAAACAAACCTGTCGATAGGGAACTTGCAGGTGAAATAAAATTTACAGAAGCAGTCCTTTACAATATCCCTCATCCATTGCGATAATTTTCACAAAAAGAAAACTTTAATACACTCGAATAACATAAAACTAGTACTGCGAACGCAGAGTTCGTTTACTGCGTTTATCGTTTACGGAATCTTGATGTCACGAGCGCTGTCATATTGAAACCTCGCGTTTTAATTTCAATAATTTTTTTTCGTACAACGTATAATTAAAAATGGAAAAAAAGAAAACTATGTAATATCTGATCACTAGAACTTTCTAAAAAAAAAAAAATTTAGAAATATGAAAATTCCCTATTGAAAGATATTTGTATTCAAGTATTTGCCCTATTTTTTTCTAAATTTCTCATAAAATCTGTTCTGTGTCATCATAACTTAACGCCTAATTTCCTAAAACATTGTTTTGACCATAATAGAGTTGTCCTGTTAATTACGCTTTGTTCGTATATCGTGTTCTCTACTAAATAAGGGGTGTCGACATACTGCCGGATTCATTATACGCGTTTTATCCATAAACGGTATGTATATGATAGAATATAAATTATATTCTGCCGTCGTTCGATAACATATTTCCGCTTTAATAAATTCAAAATAGTTCCGTTGTACAATTATACATATTTCATGTTGTTTTGAATATTTGGTATTATTTTGATGACTGACAGAAATTTCTATTGTTTTCCAAAACAATATCATGGATATTTCATTCAAATCACTTATGTGTTAAAAGTCCAAAAGTCCCATAGGAGATTTTTTCAAAATTACAGCGACTATTCACTTTCCAGTAATCTGAACCAATCATAAGTGACAATGCAAGTTCCAGTGACGAAGTTGTTTATATTTTTACCGCTCGAAAGCGAAACATACAACAAACATCAACTTTTGTTTAACGCGACACCAACGTGATACAACATATAGACCCCGAGATAGGGCCTGTTTAGTGGAGTCATTTTTTTTTTGTCTGGCATTTTGATGGATGAATGTGACTAGTTAGCTGATGAGAATATAAGTGGTTTTAATGCCTGCCTCCTGTTCGAAATGTCCACAGAATGTTCCGCCGAAAAACTCGATTTCGAACTGTGATTACCGTCTGGCGATTTTTCAGCGTTAATTTCACAACAAAACCTTTCATTCGCTCGATTGCCAGACAAAAAGTAAACGCGGAAGGTTCTTTTCTTTTCTCTTGGAATCTATTGAAAGGCATCTGATATTTTTATGGGTGAATTATTTAACTATGTCAATCTTTTATTTAAAAGCCAGAAAATTTGAGATCATTAAAAAAAAAATTCTTCATGTAAATCAATTTTTTTCTTCTGCAAATTTTCGAACGGGAGGCCGGCATTAAAATCACCCATATTCTCATCAGCTTAGTAGCCACATTCAGCCCTCAAAATGCTAGACAAAAAAAAAAATGACTCCACTAAACAGCCCCTATCTCACAGTCTAATAGCACAACGCAACAACATGGTGCGATATAATGTGACTACGTATCCAGTTTTTCTGAAATTCAAAAATAGTTTATTATGTATTGCTTATCTAATTGTTAAAGATGAATTTCAATATTTTTGTGGCATCTTCAAACCTACCCGGCTATCGGAATCGGGATTTAATTGATACACAGTATTATATCACTCTATTAACCTTCAGAACAAGACTATTTGAACAGAAACTAATTTCATTTATTGTAGTAGCTGCAACAACGATAATAATATAAAGTGTTGCTGGGAAGTATATTTGAATGTAAACATAAAATCAATTTGGTTGATGTTATTCAGGCTTATGTAAATATCAATCATTTAGTCGAGAATACAATAACAATCAAATTGAAGCCACAAATCCCGTTTGATTCATTATCGGTCAATAAAGTTGGTGAAGTACCTACGTAATTTAAACTGATTTAGAAACATTTAAAGAATGTCTCATTATCCTTCCATGTATATTATAGGTTCCAGCGTTATAAATCCCATAGGGTTTTTTCTATACTTCTATAGGGGAATATGTCAACTACATGCTAAATAAATGCCATAACTTATAGTTAAATAATATGAATGGAATAATGGGGATGGGCTAGGTTGGGAGAGGAAATAAGTCAAATGAAGTTGCAAAAATTGATGACTGGATGAATGGAGGCTTGATGGTTCCTCAACGGAGCCTAGCAGAATCAAAGATCTGATTAACCAGATTACGAAGCAATGGGTTTGATGAGGTGATTGTGTTGAGAAACAAGTATGCTCCGCCACAAGATACTCCTGGATTGAGTTGACACGTAGTGACTCTTGCTACATGAGTTTGTGTACGTGCCGCTTGTCACCTTTTTACACAACGTGAGTTGGGGTATGAAGATGTTATGGCGATTGAGATGTGGAAAATAAGGGCTTGGACAAAGTCTTGAGGGACGCCTGTTGTGAAGGGTCTGATATTAGTTTTTTATTTTCAGGCCCTCGAGAACTGTCTGATGACTCTGATGTATGGATCATTCATTTTGATATGCTCACTCTGCCAGACGCGGTCGAAAGCTGGAAATACTGCCTTCGTGCGATGGATGCCAGGAGTGGCCTTTCCGACCAGTCTCTTGCTGAAATAATTGTTATCGAAACCGAACTGTTCTTGGGGTATGAAGTTGAGGAAGAGTTTTTAATTTTTCCAGAAATAAATCTTCGATGAGCCTAGGACTTGATGAGATTTTTGCCTGATTTTGGTCCATGGTGATCGCCAATCTTACTAGTAACCAAAAAGGATAGCTAACGAGGTGCAGTGTGAATTAAAGGTGGCTGAATGATGTCACGAAAAAAGAAAAAAATCATTACCCCGGATTGACGATACCCTCAACACGTTATTAGGTTCCAAGTAGGTCTCAAAATCTTAGATCTAGAAGGCGGGTTTTGGCAGATGAAACCTAACAAGGAAGATAAAGAGAAGCCTTTACAGCTGGAAATGGCCTATATAAATTTAACCTCATGAACTTTAAATTATGCATTGCACCTGCCACCTTTGAGTGACTGATGGAAGTAGTTATGCGATGACCCACTTGGGAGATATGCTTTGTATTTATAATTATTCCTGGATGATGTCAAGGTAGTTGGCAAAGATTCCGACGAAAACCTATCAAATTTGAGTCAATTTGCTACAATGAGAAAAAGTACTTCCTTGGACACGAGGTTTTCTCGAGAGGAATAGACACAGATCGAGAAAAAGTCCAGGATTTATGAGATTTGTCCAGACCAAAGAACAAACTTGAAGTGACAAGCTTCTTGGGACTATGCGGTTCCTATAAGCGCTGATTTGTGAAGGATTTTGGAAAGATTGTGAAGCCTTCACACTTACTGAGAAGAACGCGCACTTCAATTGATTGGTTATTTTAGTAAATTAATGAGTAAAAAAACTTTGTATTTCGTGCAATAACTTCATTTACTCAATAACTACAAAGTTTAAAAAAAAAAAAGATTTTTTTACTCATTAACTTCCTCAACGTGCACACAGCCTTACACTACAATTTTAGTAAATCCCTGGGAAAGGCAGAGAGAAATTATTATATCACCCAAAAGCAGCCTCTTGCAGCAGTAACACCCTTTGATCATTACAAGAGTTTTCTCCATGAAAAGAAATTTCTTGTAGCAACCGACTAATCTGCTTTGCAGTGGCTCTAAATTTTGAACCCACGTCAAATAGCGTGTTTTTAGAGAAATTACGAAGTTGCAACTTCCAAATCAAACATCGCAAAGGTGCCAGCGCCTAGAGTCTATCACGAAGGCCATGTATAAACCGATCTTATCTGATCTGAGCAGATTAAGTATACCAGAACTGAACTAATACTGACGACGACATCACCAAGGAAGATTCTGCGAGATGACTTGATAACTCCTAAAAGGGGGTGAGAAAAGTCTAGTATATCAGACCGTTGTACCATGGTAGAGAGTAAACACGTAAACTGTGGTCGGAGTAGTGAAGAAATATTGAAGAATGGTGCAAAAGATGCGAACTTTGTGCTTCGAAGAATGAATAATGAACCTAAGACAGGGTCTCGAGGAAAAAGGAAGCTGCTGTACTTGACTGGTTTCCCATGAGAAAGAATTGCAGATATTGCGGGTCAACAGAATAATCTTCTGTTTGCTGTTTGCCGGAACTGCATACTTCCAATTTTGAATCAAGAAGTCGTTAGAGCTGCTGAACATCATTACACAGACACGATACGGATGGAACTTCATACCGATCGGGAGGAATTTTGAGTCCGAAGTATGGGAATAACTGGTTACTGGGGAAAAGGAAAATGAGAATGAGATCATTTCATCCACAATCCGACGGAATGGCCGAGTCGAACTATCGGACCATCAATAAATACCTCTCGATGTTCGTGGATGAGCACCATCGGAATTGGAATAAACTGGTGGCTGCGTCCTTCGAGCTTTTAGAAGTTCTCAGCACGAATCAACCGGCTATAACATCATTGATGCTGTTGAGTGGAAGAGAAATGAAGCTTCCCGTGACTCTAATATTTAATACACAATGAGCCGATGAAGATGAAGCTCTACTTTCGGTTCACATGGCTGATCTCCCAGACAGGCTCAGAGTAGTTCATGATTTGTTCAGGAACAAAATACGTTAGAGCAGCGACGGAATGAAAATGAAACTCGACACGCGGCAGCCATTAAACACCTGCAATAAAAGCGGGGCTGTCTGGTTTTATAAGCCACAGCATAGTAGAATTGTCTTTGGCCACAGCGAAGGAAGGAGCTCAGCCAGAAATTATAGAGACTCTGAGACATTCTCCTGGAGCGAAGTCAAAGGTTGTAAACGTAGGAAGGCTGGCCCATACAGAAAATAGACCGACTTAGATGCGATCAGGCGCCTGTTTCTTAAAACAAGGAACAAGGAAGTTCCATTCCCTTGAGAACGAATTTTTGATCTTTGTCACTCGTGAGATCTTGCATGGGCCTGAGAAAAACAGGGCACTTCCTATGAGAACATTGCCCCATTATCTCGATAATCAGGCGCCAGGCGTAGCTGTTCCGGGCGAACAGTTTCAAAGCATGAGGCAGTGTTATAAATATCTCTGTTAGCTGTACACAATCTTGAAATGCTGCCTGATGACTAAAATCATCGTAAATTGAGTTTTTATTGCGCAAAATTTCAGCCAATTCGGAACAAATGGAATCAAATTATCTGGACTATTCTATTGGGATTTCAAGATAAGCGGTACTCTATCTGGCGGCAAATTACGGAACTAGTTTCTAGTACATTGTCATATGTTATTCTATTGTTTATCATTGTATTTGTGTGAATATTTTTGAGTTTTTAAAGCGTGTTGGTGAATTATTAAGTCTAAATTATATCAGATACATTCAATTATGACCTCCAATCACTACTGTTGTGTTCCTCAGTGCAAATATTGGGCTAAAAAAGATGCTGACAAAGGGTTGAGTTTCCACATATTTCCCCCTGAAACAGGCCCAGGGGTTTATTTGGAAACGAAGATGGGAAAAGTCGAGAAGAAAAGCCTGGATTTTGAAACTTCGTAATGGCAAACCAGTCACCAAATTCATGAAAGTGTATTTCTCTGCATTTCAAGCAAGAAGTTTATGTTAAGGTAAACAAGCACAATGGATGTTTTTGTGCCCTAGCTTCCTTTTAGGCCTGCTCTCAGGCATTGATTAAGTACCTATTATCTATTTTTAAAATATTTTGTTTGAAAATATTAACTGTTTTTATTATTTACAGCTGAGCTTACAGGTAGAGGTCGGATATTGAAAAAAACAGCTGTACCATCCCAGAACTTGCCCTCTTCTACAGTGATCCATCAACCCAGCCAAAAAACAGATTCCATGTGTGCTGAAAGAAATCAAGATTCTAATGAGAGCGATATACAAGTAATGAATGTAGTGATACTTGTAATCAATTATTAAACTCTTCTGAGACAAACATAGAAATGGACGAGTAAACAGCAGAAAGTATCAAGTTTTTATTAAATTCTAATTACCAGTATTATAGGCAGGTTTGTGGTCAAGTTATTTGACTGTTAATTCAATTGTTACTTATTTATAAATAAAAATAAAGAGTTATTTATGAAATATTTATTTATTTCTTGCATATACAAGTTATTCAAATACAGACATTATAAGGGACGTATCTGCCTTTACCCTTTTGGCTCTGTCCTATTGTGGAAAGTTTCAAAAAAATATAAGAAAAAGAGCCGTTTAGGCTGTTGTATGGATATGACCATTTCGGGTCAGGTAAAGAAAATAGATTATATTGAATTTTGGCCTGCATCAAGAGCCACAAATACAAGACAAACATTCAAGCTAATGTAAATCATATGTAAATTAGATTTTAAAAAAAGTGAGGTTATAAATCAATGTACTAGAAAGTAGTTGAGCTATTCAACACCGCGGCGCTACGATCTTAATTTCAAATCCCAATAGAGGCCACGGCGCAATAATAAACAGTCAGTTATCGAAGCAAAAAAGTCGGTGATAGATTAATCGCCCTGGTATCAGCAATTAGTTAGTTGAACGCGAATTAGTTAATAGTCGGATAATTAGTGGAACGCGACTCGATTCTAAGACAGTGAATTGCGATTTAGTTATGCGTCGACTTAGGGTTGATTGAATGTGATATAAGTATTCTAATAGTACTAATTTCGTCATAATTTTTGTGTGATCATCTTGAATAAAGGTAAATTAATTTTGGAAGAGTAGTCTCACTTATCTGCTCATCTATGCTATTTCTTATTTCTATTCTCCTTGAAAATCTGTAACTTTGGGAATTGAAATCGAACAGTTCAGAACTTCAGTTAGTTTGATAAATACGCTCCAGGATTATAAGTAGAGGTAATGTCTTGCTTCACTTAAGGCCGGTTTTATAAAGCTTGGTTGACCGAAGGTTGAGTTTCAACCAGCGGTCGAACTGAAATTACTGCATGATTTCATACGGACATTTCAGTTCAACCGCTGGTTGAAATTCAATCTTCGGACAACCGGACTTTATAATACCGGCCCTTAGAGTAGAGGGTGGTTCCTTATATTCATTGACATCCCACCATAATAATAATTCAAATTAGTGAATGACTTTGAATGACCCAGTTTTTTTTGTTGACCCTACCCAAAAACGCAAAATGAAAATAGGCGGAAGTTGGTCGTCTCATGCGAATAAGTGCCTAACCAAATCGTGTAATCGTAATCAACTGGATTAGAGAAAAGTGATAGGATAGAGAGGATCTGGAAGGGTCTAGACCCACCCCTGATGGCGTCTGAAGAAGACCGACGATACAATCCGAGACGATAATTGAAGAGAAAGTGAAATTTAAAGGTAGATCTGCTGGGTCTACGTCTTCAATGCCATCCTCACAAACAGGTGCCAGAGGTGGTGATTCGCATCTGGCAGAGTTTGGAGTTTTTGTCGTGCTTCGATCAGGCCGGTACAGAAGTATAATCTATGGAGTTGCATGTTGTATAGACATTGCAACATTCGATTCAGTTCGATTATAGTGAGACAAAATGTCCAGTTAACATGGGTCACTCTTTCGTTCAGTTTAATTTTTAAATTATTCCTTTCTTGCGCATTAGGAAATAACATTTTGCATTTGTTTAAGGTCCTGTCTTCGAGTCTCTTTCTGCCTAGCCCTGGTTCCAAGTCTATAATGTTTCCGTCCCGATTGACTTCTAGGTCCCCTGAATATTCTTGTATCTTCTTCTAGTAT